ATTATTATTATCATTACATGTATTATTATTGTCATTATCATTATTTTTAAAGGATACCATCTACACTAGGTGCAATACAAAATGCATGTCGACGGCTGTGAGTACGTTAATATTTCTGTACATGTATTACATCGACAAATAAAGCATACTTTTTTACTCTACGAATTTTTCTTATAATCATAATGTATACTGAGACGGTTTTTTGTGGGTAGTCGTCCCCACTTTCCCTCCAATCCATTATCTCCAGTGAAAAACACACCTCACATTTGTTGTTGCCCAAACTCTATTATCTCTACATGATGTTGCTCACTGCGTGTGTATGCAGGCAGGGGTTGTCAACATATTACATGTGTATCTATTATCTATTTGTAGTGGCCGAATTTTGCTATTTAAAAGGCTTTTTAATGGCTGCATCGATCGACATGCAGTTTTCTCCAAAAGATTCTTTAAAATATTCTCCAGATCATGACGCCCTTCGTTTTTTCCAGTTTTGAGACAGTTTTGCTGCAAAAAGCTTAATTTCCTTATATCGCCGATCGCTTTTGTAGGCCGACGCTTCTGTCTCTGAAATTTAAGAAAATCCGCCAGGTTTGTTTATTTCCAGTCGTACTTCCGTTCAATACTATCGTGGATTGTCGCGCAGTACTGAGCACTATTTTAAGTGTGCAACCCGTATAGATATATCCTCATGTTTCCTTTTTTACCAATGACTTTCATTTGATGTTAATGCACCGATCACCCCTTTCATCGAAAGGGGACCCAGCTAGTATAATATAAAATATTATAATCTCACAAAGAGCAATACTTTTTAGCTTTCTGCAAATTATATGATTGTAACTGTGTTCTACATCAGCATCATCATCATCATCATCATCATCATACTATAAAACTATACACTTACAACACAAAATATTCCTCTTTAGCCAGTAACAGTTGTGATACTTATTTAGATGCTGCTTTTTCAATTCGGATTTTTTCCTCATGAACATGTCATTTTATCTCAGAAAATAGTTGTAAAAACGCATAGAGCTTGCTGCAGAGCGTGGATATATGGGGTATTCAAATGTATTCATCTATTACTATTATCATTGTTATTAAAGGATACCATCTATACTAGGTGCTATACAAAATGCATGTCGACGGCTGTGAGTACGTTAATATTTCTGTACATGTATTATATCGACAAATAAAGCATACTTTTTTACTCTACGGATTTTTCTTATAATCATAATGTTTATTGAGGCCTTTTTCTTGTGTTGTAGTCGTCGTCTCTTTCCCCCCAATCCCTGAACACCAGTGGAAAAACACACGTCCCATTTGGTCGCTTTTAAGCACAAGGGGGCTATCTCGAAAAATGCTGTTTTGAAAAAAAAAGGGAAAGGAAAAGTTTTTGGACCCTTGTTCAGTTTCTTTAAAAGACAAGGAGAGTTTTCTCTGTATCCAAACAAATGTACACACCAATGAAACCAAACTTCTTCTATACTATAGGTAGGGCAAAGCCCACTTTTGGTGTAGGTCAAGATTTTTGGAAACCCCCGAAATCTAGCTTAGCCCGCTTATCTTTAAAAGCGACCATTTGTTGCCCAAACTCTATTATCCCTACATGTTGCTTACTGCGTGTGTATGCGAGCACGGTTTGTAAAATTATATTCAACTCCCCAGTTGATCAATGTTAATCAGTTAGGAAGAGGGCTGCCTCAGAGTCAGTTCGGGATAAATGAGATACAGCAGATTTTATACGGAAACCCCAGGGCAGGGTGCCCATTAGCCCAACTCGTAATGATTTTAAAAAAAGTTTTAGTAGAGGTTTTACGGCGCTCGCAACTGCATAAGGTCATATTATGAGCGCCAGAAGATTAGAGGTGTTACAAGAGAGTAACAAACATAAAAAGAAAAAGGGGAGATAAGGACGATAAATGTTTCAAAGGAAAGAAGAAGCAAGCCACGCCACAGCACCCGCCAACCACCCACAACTGGTAAGATGATCGCCTGTCAGCCCAATGGTCCAGGGTTCGATTCCCGTCGGCGTCCGGTTGATTTCACTTTCTAGACAAGTTATTTTTAGTTTTAGTGAGCGTTTTACGGCACTTGCAACACGATTAGGACATGTAAGTGCCTAAAACTAGAGGTGTAATTTGTTAATCAAACAAACAAAACTACATTGGATATCACAGCTTGGAAAATAAACAAAGCAAAAAGATTGGAGTATCAATTCAGCTTGGAAAAAATAGATATCAAATAAATCAGAACAAAAAATGAATATATACATTATTTAAATATACATGTATATGCATGACGTGCATTAATTGGCAATGAAAATGAACGATTTGAAGAAAAAAAATTGAGCAGGTCGTTGAAAATGTTAAGTTGAGTTGAAAAAAGTATCTTTCAAAACAAACTATATTAGAATTAAAAGGAAATAAAAGGAAATGAATGTATTTTTCCTAACCTTTTAGAGCATTGTGGTTGCTGTCAACTTTGTAACTTTGTAAGGACCTCCCTCTCTCCCTCCCCCATGTCAACTTTTCTCAACTTTTCACATTTACCAA